GGCTGGGTGCTGGCAGGCTTGCACCTGGCACGGGCACCGTAGCCAGCCCGTGCCCCTTTAAGGTGTCCGGGGTCGGGAGGAGGGCAATAGAGTTTCCCTAGTGTTGGCCAGAGTGGCCACCAGGGAAAGCTGGGGAGGGCTAGCCTCCCACTAGTTCGAATTAAGGGGCTATACACCCTTTAATTCAAACTAGCTAGTTCGAACTAGGCTTAATCCTCGTAAAATGAGGTTTTCCTAGTTCGAACTAAGCACTCCGCTAGTTCAAATTAAGTTCGAACTAGCGGAGCGCTAGTGTAGCGCCTATGAAAGTTAGTTCGAACTAACGTCCGTTAGTTCGAACTAACTCTGTAGTGTAGACATACCCTTAGCCAGTAGAACTTTTTACTGTCCTTTTGTAAGTGAGTTTCATGCACACAAAATATAAGTTATCGAAATTCCTTATTGTCATGATGATAGATCATATTTGAACTAGATAGCAAGTTTGGATTGTATATTAGTTTTGATTTGCTGTCCAGTTTGTTTGGTGTTAAGACCTATATTGTTGTGCTTAGGACAGGGAGACTATAAAAGTATATAACTTCTTTATATTTTAAGTGAATTCTCCCTCATCTAACAGTTGGCCATATATACAATAGTTACTTTTTGATAATGACTGACAAAAAGAAAAAAACAAAATACAGTGAAAGGAAAAAGGAAAATAAAATAAGGAAAAGTAACTACAGAAACAACTTACTTGAACTCTGCCTCTAATTGTTAGTCAGAGTCCTTCATCCTCTACTGTTCTACAGATTCCTCTGTTCATCCACTTCTCCTTCTCTTGTATTTCCTTTCTTATCAGAGACTATCCCAGGCCTCCTCTAAATATTTTCTTTCATCTTCAGCAATAGGCAAGCATTTGTACATAATTGTAAATGTTTAAATTTATTAAGTGTCAAATTATTTTATCTGATTTTATCTCAGTTCAAGTTCAGTAAGGACATCTGACTAAAATGCTTCCAGTCAAGAACTTGTAGTGAATTCCATAAAGACCTTAGACCCACAGACTTGGTCACTTTCTCAAAATAAAGGAAAAAAACAGGAAGACATTCTAAAGAAGACAAGTGGCTCAGATCTCTGAAATGAAAATGGAAAAACAGAATTAAATAGCTTCAGAGTCCCTCCAGAAATGGATGTCATTTTAGTACTGTTTTGGTAAGGGAGGCACCAAAAGCATTAATATTTAAAGGGAATGCAAAGTTATATTTCAACTGTTTTAGAATCAGATTATTTGTTTCTTACATAAACCAGCTGAAGGCCTATTCATGCAAATCATCTATGTGTAGAACTCCCATGGGCTTCAGTGGAAATTCTAAACAAGGAGCACATGCAGGTTTGGTTTCTAGTTTGCAACAAGAGAACCTACTCCCAGAAGTCCTTTCTAGTTCACTCGAAATAAGGGTTTTGTTTTTTGTAATTGAAATATCTCTTTTCACTGTGACACATGAGATCGGGTCTACATTATAAATCTTATTGTCAGATTGCTCCCTGCTCCCTGGTCTGCATAATTTGATGCTCAAATACCCTAGAGCATGGATTTGTGTAATAGACTGCTTTGGAGAATTCCAGTTAAAGTTAAGTAATCCAGTTATAATATAACTAGAGTGTGTTGTAGTTACATCATTGCAAAACAGATAACAATAATGACTTTGAGAACATTTTGTTCTCTTAAGTAAGTGGTTGCCTGCACCACTTCCTCAGAACATGCTATTGTACTTTGTAGAAAAAAATGTTTATATACACATGAGAAATTTAGTAGGACTAGTACAGTCACTACAGTGAATGATATATATGGGAGGTAATACAGGTTGTTCTGTTTACATTTAATTAAAAATATTCATTAAATAGTTCAGACTTTCAGGAAAAACAATTCTGTGTGAATTTCAAATAGTGGAAACCCCTTTCCCCAATTTATTTTTCTGTCTTTGGATGAGTTTTCATAGTATGGAAGTTGAATAGTTATTGAATCTGACCTTTATTGACCTTTGACTTTGCTGTCATGTGTCATAAATCTTCATGGAACAATTAGCATTTTAAGTATGCTTAGTCCACTTACACTTTTAAGAACTATTAATATATGTAGTATGCTAAGCATACATCTTTTTCATTAGGGATACTTAAAAAAAAAAGTCAAGAATGGAAAATCCTGAAAGAATGACTCACACTCCCTGCTGTCCTTTCTTTCCCCCCTCCTCTTTGGTTTTGTTTTTTTGTTTTGTGGTAGTCTGACCCTTGGTTATCATTGCAGAACTATGGAGGTGCAATGAGACCACCACTGAATGCTTTAGGTGGCCCTGGAATGCCTGGAATGAACATGTAAGCAAAATAACAAACTACTATCATATTTACAAAAATAATATTTTCATTTTAAAAGAAAAAATAACTGTGGCATACATAGGACAAGGGAAAATGTATTTTGATTACTTAACTAATATTAATAGTAATGACAAAGCAAGAAAATATCACAGCAGTCTCGCTCTTTTGCAAAGCATCTTTTACAGAATTCTTTGTTTATTCCTTCCACATCTCTCAGAATGTTGGGTTTGTTCTACAGTCAGGATTCATGTATGCAGAATATCTTGTTACTGTTGCCCACTGTGTTCATCTGTAGATTTGTAAAGAGCCTTGCTGTTAATTAAGTTTGAATATTTATTTACTGATATAAAAGTAAAACAAGTTGCTATCAATACACAAACAGAAAGAATATTTTAAAGACATGTAAGGTTGTGATTCACATCTGCAGAAGCAAGGAAGTGCATAGTATGGACAGAAACAGATCATTGTCTTTAAATACATCATTACAAAGGGTACACATTAAAAAATGAAAGATGTGATTCTCTAATCTGTTACATCAGTTTTATACCAATGTAATCAGTAAAGTTACACTACTGTATAGTATCAGAGGGGTAGCCGTGTTAGTCTGAATCTGCAAAAGCGACGAGGAGTCCTGTGGCACCTTATAGACTAACTGAAGTGTAGGAGCATAAGCTTTCGTGGGCAAAGACCCACTTCGTCAGATGCATGTCATGTATACTGTATATAAAACCAGTTTTTGGAATGGAAAATCAAGCTTGAGACATTTTAGTATACTTAGTAGTGTCCAGGTAGTCCTGGGGCTAGATACTCAGTTGAAGTAAACTGATATACAGTGATTTACACTAGCTATGGATTGGGTCCATGGAGTATATTCTTCCCTTGATATATGTAGATAACTCCTAATTTTCAAGGCTCCAGAGCAACTTCAGATGTCAAAACACTGTTTTGGTATAGAAGAAGTTGAAGTTGCACCAAAGCTATGACCTTCAGGACAACTCTCCATGATCAGTTCTCCCACTGCAAAGCATAGCCCTTCCTGACATTGTTCCATGTCAGCCCTACGCTTGCAGTTTGTGGGGGGAAATGACGCTGCCTGCCCTCCAAACAACACCCATGTTAAAAGTGGGGGAAATGGACCCTTGATGTTCCCAGTTCCAGCACCAGTGCCTCCCTCTTCTACTAAGATTCCAGTGTCCTTGCTTCAAGCACCATACTACTGGAGGAGTTAGAAGAAAATTTCTTAACAAGTGGGTCATGACCTCTACGAAGGTCATGAAAAGTAATCAAGTTTGCAAGGATTCAAGGTATTGTCAAATTAAAGAGGTTATGAAACATTGAGTTAGAACCAACTTGTAAAGAGACATCTGATTTTGATTTAAAGATTTCAAGTAATAGAAAATCTACCACATCTTTGATATATTATTCTACTCTTCAGCCAGATCTTGAATTTCTGAAGCAAACAAAATAAAATTTAAGGTTTTGCTACTTTATTAGAGACATCTTATGTTGACCTCAGGGAAATTATTGGAAGTCAATAGATAAAATAACTAGATATTTGGAATCAAGTGTAAATACAACACACATTCTAGAGAGATTTCAACAAAGGGGGGAAACGAAACCATTCATTACTAAATGTGTTGCTATTTAATAGCAAAAAATTAGAAATAGAAATAAAAAAAGGATTTTGAGGAGACTTGTACACGAGATATACACTTGTACCTCATATAGATGTACACTTGTACCTCATATAGAAAAACCAGACAAACAGGTTGCTCTTCACCTGCCTGTTACCAGAAAATGAAACAGTCATGATTGCAGTACAACTTCTGTACCTCAGCAGTAGGTAAACCCACTTTCTTATATGTAGAGGCAGTTCCACATGGCTAATGCAGCCACACAGTGAAAAGGGAGGCTGGAAATGTCTGTCTTTCTAGTTTTCATGTTCTACATAAGAGTTACCCAGAATTGTAGCCTGAGCCAATACTAAGGTTTTCTGTGCCTGGGGCAAGCTACTGAACTACATCCCCCTTTTCTCTCTCCCCTCTCCCCCCACCACCCAAAAATGATAACATTATTAATTTTTGTATTAATTTTATTCATTGCACATGTTGTTAATTGCACATATATTGAGATTGCAAATAGATGATAGTAAAGATATAAATGAAATAATATTTTAACTTTCTAATTTTTAATTTTGCACCCCTAAATGTACTGTGCCTGGGGCGAGTGCCCCACTTGCCCCACCCTTGTTATGGCTCTGATTATAGCTTCTGTACTTGAGTTACTCAGCAGCTTTTACATAATGTAAAGAAAGCATGAAAAAGTAGTCAGTCATAGCTCCTTCTCCCAGTGCTTCAGCCAAGCATGTGCTGTTCTTCTTAAAGGCTGCTGCTGATTAATCTCCCTTTAGTCCAAATGAAATTGGGAGAAAAATAACTATCATTGTTCTGCGTGGCATGGCTTTATTGGAACCTTGCCACAGACTGTGTCTTAAAGGCACAAGTAAACCAAGAGTGCTTGTATTAGAAAGCTGTGCTTTAGAATATTATATTCTCTGTCTTATGCTGGATTCTGGACCTTGGAAAGGAGTTCTGTTATATCTTTTACCTTCAGAGAATATGATTTATAAGTAAGAAATTTTTCTCTTACTGTCAAATGGAGTTACATACATATATCAAAAGGAGAACAGAGGCTTAATTCTGTTTTTTGTTTGCTTATTTTTGTTTCTTTTTTTTCAAGACATGAAGGCCCAATTTGAAAATTATTGATGTCACTTGTACATGAATTTCTTTAGCATATAAATCTTTGTATTGTGATACCATGGCACAGATGTATTGTAAATGTTAACATCAACTTTTAGTTGCAGAGTGCATCTAAGGATAATCCACATCCAGTAGTAGTAAATGGACCCAGATGTTTAGCAATTTGTCCTTTAAATTATACCTTACAATTTATGCAATGCATGATGCTAAGCAACATCTGTGTATCTTATCTTCTATACTTGTATTTCCAATAAAAAATGGCAGTTTTCCTATTGCCTTATGTAGGGTAGATAATTTAATTTGCATTTCTTTTTACACTGGCATAAACTTTTTTCCTATTAAAATTGTCCTCCTTTGAGTTCAATAGGTTTGACTCGCTGGAAGCAGTAAAATATGAAGCAGTTATTCTGCAAAGCCAACAGCCATTTTAAAATGTAATGTCTCCTCTGTAGGCAATTATGGAATAAAACTCAAAAGGAAAGTGTCTCAGCAAGGTGCTAAATGTCTTCCTGTTATCATTTTTGAGATTTTTTTTCCTGTTTTATGTTTGTTAAAAATAATATGTATTATATAATCTATTAAAACAAAAAAGGCTTATTAACTAATTACATTTTATGACAGCAAAACTAACCTAAATTACAGACATCTCAACCCAAAAGGACATTTAAAAAATGTAGCGTTGAAAAATAATTCCTGACACAGCCTTAACTTCAGTATTTCAAATGTGATATATATTTGTTTCTTTCATCTTTTAAAAAAAATAATTACAGCCAGTTCCCAACTTATGAACAGGTCGCAACTCGATCTGTTCGTAAGTAGGATTACATTCACTTAGGCACGGCTGCGCTGTTTGTAAGTGCAGATTTAATTCATAACTCAGGTTCCGGCTGTGTAGGGGTTGGTCGTAAATACAAATGGTCGTAAGTCGATGCGTTCGTAACTCAGGGACCGGCTGTACAATGACATCTCCAAGTGCCCATATCAGAGTTTTGATTATAAACTCACTTTTAAGGGGTATAAATCTTAGCAATAGAACTTCAAGCCAAATATTGGTATGATAAGGCTTTGTAAGACTGGATTTTTTTTCAGACAAAATAGGAACAAAACAGCAAATGTCAGGGGATAATACTTATTTTAATGGCCAGTATGAACCATATTGTTTTATAAGGTACTAAGTATATTTCAGTATATAACTGAAGGGAAAGAAGAACTTCCATTCACTTTTTAGCTCACAGACTTCCTTTATACATATGCTGTTACTTAATTATTAAGCTATATGTGTAATAGAGGCTGAACCTCTCTTGTCCGACACTCTTTGGTCTGGAAACATCTGGGCTATGTCTAGACTGGCCACAAATTCCGGAAAAGGGATGCAAATCAGGTAAGTCAGCATAGGGAAATCCGCGGGGGATTTAAATATCCCCCGCGGATTTAAATAAACATGTCCGCCGCTTTTTTTCCAGCTTCTTCAAAAGCCGGAAAAAAAGCATCTAGACTGGCATCCTCCGGAAAAGGGCTTTATTCCGGAGGATCGCGCCAGTCTAGATGCTTTTTTTCCGGCTTTTCCCCAAGCCGGAAAAAAAGCGGCGGACATGTTTATTTAAATCCGCGGGGGATATTTAAATCCCCCGCGGATTTCCCTATGCTGACTTACCTAATTTGCATCCCTTTTCCGGAATTTGTGGCCAGTCTAGACATAGCCCTGTGGTCTGGCATGATTTTAGTTAGCCGGATGTCCACTTACCATGGATGTGGCCAAGTTTCCTGGCTCTCAGAGTTCCTGGCCACTGGTCCTGACTCTCAGTGTTCTGGGCTGTCATTTAGTTCTAATTTACCCCTAAATGTCTTCTAAGAGCCCAGCAAGCAGTGTAAGTGTTGGTAATGCAGCTAGACAATATTGACCTTCCATGGTCTGGCAAATTCTCTAGTTTGGCACCAGTCAGGTCCCGAATGTGCTGGACTAGAGAGGTTCAACCTGTGCAAATGCATACAAAAAATAGATGTTCAGCCATTTGGTTTAAATTATTTGATATTCTGATAGAATACACTCACATATAAGGAAATTGAAATATTGAACATTTTTTCAAATACTAGTACAAATAAAGGATTTGAGAATTATTTTCAAGATATCAATGAAATTGAATCACTGGTAGAAATATTTGGGTCTGCGTTAAAGGATCCTCATAGAGGTAAATAATCCATATATTTTGTAATAAATGAAGGTTTGGAAATCACAACTGTGTTTCTATAGTATGCTATTGTAATTAGACATATGAGTCTTCTATATATATGTAACAGATTATATTGTGAAATTGATACATTAATAGTAATGTTTTGTGAATGTTTTCATTTCCATAATAAACATTTACTAGAAGAAGGGGGGGAAAGCTGCTCATGTTACTTTAAAGAACTTTGCAGCTGGCTAATTAAAAAAAAACAACCAATATTCAACTTGATATAATTATATACCTGCTGGGCAGAATCTGCCATAGTGCTTTTTATAGCCCTCTACATAGTAGTTTCTTCTATGACTTTCAGTAAATTTGCAAAATCTGGTGCAAGATGAGCTTTCACTTAGTCAGCTTCATACTTTTTAAGTATTTACATTAATACTTCCTTTAACAAAGGGTGAAAACAAAGTTACTATATTGTCATATACTCACTTTCTTGTATTAAAAACAGTTTGATTTTATGAAAAGAAATTCACATCTTAAAACTTCCTAAATTTTGAACAACGGTAATTACTTTTATTAAACACATTTTAATAGTCTTGTGGTATTGTAAATATATAGTACATAAGTGCTTAATACAGTCTCAATTTAGAAAGAAATGTAAGCATGTAGTATAACTTGAATCCTTAAGTACACTTGTTAGTACCTTTGGGTATGTTTACACTACAATGTTAGTTCGAACTAACAGACGTTAGTTCGAACTAACATTCATAGGCGCTACACTAGCGCTCCGCTAGTTCGAATTTAAATCGAACTAGTGGAGCGCTTAGTTCGAACTAGGAAAACCTCATTTTACGAGGATTAAGCCTAGTTCGAACTTACTAGTTCGAATTAAGGGGTGTGTAGCCCCTTAATTCGAACTAGTGGGAGGATAGCCCTCCCCAGCTTTCCCTGGTGGCCACTCTGGCCAACACCAGGGAAACTCTATGCCCCCCTCCCGGCCCCGGACCCCTTAAAGGGGCACGGGCTGGCTACGGTGCCCGTGCCAGGTGCAAGCCTGCCAGCACCCAGCCAG